TATTTGCAGTTTATAAGTCACTTCTGTGCTGATTCAAGAGAGAGACCGGAAGGTTGCTGCTTGGTAAAAACGTACGGTGGCAGTACTGTGGTACAGTGACGGTATCAGATGGTAATTCCATGTTACTAAAATTAATTATTATTGGAAATACCTTGGAGTACCATGTAATTACCATGGTATATTTTCTTGTAAATGATTTACGGAGTACAAAAAATGTGAAATGTCCTGTTGCAAATGAGGCTCTGTATGTAAACATGCATGCATGCATTTGTCAAAAAGGATTGCACATTTTCGCAAAAATGCTCATAATTACTATATTTTCTGAATACAGAGCAAAAGGTACCACCAAGCTTTGACTTGCCTCTTAAACCAGTGACTGTGACTGAGGGTGAGACACTTACCCTCAGCTGCCATGTACGTGGAACTCCTCCTCTAAAGATTCAGTGGATGAAGGACAGGCAGGAGCTTTCTTCGTCTGAAAATACTAAGATTACATTTGTTGATGGCACTGCCACATTGGAGATGATCCGTGTATCTAAGGCATATACTGGGGATTATCTCTGCAAAGCAACCAATGAGGCTGGTAGTGAATTCTGCAAGTCTAAAGTCACTATCAAAGGTATTGTGTGTGTGTGTGTGTGTGTGTAAGGAACATAATGTTTTTAATGTCCTTGGTAATTCTTTCTTTTTTTATGTGCTTCATCCTAACCTTGACATTCTGTTGGCTGTTTGCCAATATTAGAATCTTCTAATAATTATTATGCTTTCATTAATCTAATTCTGTCTTCTGTTTCTTTCTTGGCCTGACAACAGATTACTTTTGTCAGGGCAAGTACTTGCTTGTTGTTTACAAACAGGTCTCAATGATTTGTTTTGGCCAAATCTGCTTCTTTGCAAATGTTTCTTTGCCATTCTTATTCCTGCAGCTGTGCTTATTGAAAAAGTGAAATGGGTCATGTGTTTTTGTTGTCTAAAATGTTTTAGGCCTGAATCTTGAATATGAAAGTGAAAATGTATGTATCTCACTTCAATATTCCTTTAAAAGTTTCAGAGAAACCAGGAGCTCCTGCCCCGGCACAGGCAGCCCCTTCACCACCTGAAGCAGTTAAAAAGTTGGACAACCTCTTCTTCATTGAGGAGCCAAAGAGTGTCCATATCATTGAGAGTAAGTTATTCTCCATTTCATTTTTTAGGGGTGAACCAGTGTTGGGTGTAACGCGTTTCTAAGTAATTATATGACTTAACCACTGAAAAAAGTAAAGGAAAGGATTACTGTTCATTTTTAGGTAATTTAATTACAGTTACTTATATAGTATTTGCATTACAGTTTTAAATCAATATTGAATTTGAAATCTAAATGTATCTTCTAAAGGTAAAACTGAATGCAGCGTCTTTAACCCTCTGCTCGTCAGAGCGTTCACTTGCAGTTTTTTTCTGATAAGAGACAAAAGGACCTAAAATACCCAGATACAGATAAGACTAAAATCAATCAAATCTATAAAGGTTATACTTTTATTTGTGTACACTGACCATAACAACAAAACTTTGTGCTTTTATTAAATAAACAAAACAAACAGGGTGCGCTTTCTGCTGTTTTGGTCTCAGCGAACATCTTTCTGAAACGCGCCACAGAAACGAACGGAAACTCGGCGAATACTTCACACACAGACGTGAGAAATATGTCTTTAGAAAACTTGAAGTGTCTACTTATTCGAAAACGAATATTCTCTGATTATGTAATCCGTATGAAACTAAAGCGAGGTACAGTCTTTCCTGTCTCAGAACTCATTATCTGCAAACGCCCTAATCACCTAAATACAAAAGCATAGATAAAACATTTTTTTATCTGCCTTTAATTGTTTTTGGAAGAAGACTTGAGGAATAAACCGGAATTTACCTCAGAAGAACAGTGCAATCTGACGCGTCTTTATTCAGCGGAGATCATTTCTGTAATTTATTCTTACTTACATTAGTTAACGTGCTATTTTTTACATAAACTTGAATGCATTTTACTAGTTGGGCTTTTCCTAAACTGTCTTGCCAAAATGTGTGAAAGCGAGTAAAATGTGCTGAAATATCATATGCGATTCATATATACAGGCAACTTGTAGGCTAACATATAGGCTAAATGTCATATAAAATGAGGATGTAAATATAATATTGACGTTTATAGTGTGCAAAGCAATAAGAATTTAGTTTATAAAATATCAGAATACAGACAAAGCATATGTGCATGAATGACAGTACAAAATCGTGTTTTTTTGTTAGGAGTGGACAAAATTAGTATTAGTGACTGCTAATGTTGTATACATGTACAGCATGTCAGTGTGTATGAAATATGGTTCTAATTGCTTTGAAAAGATTAATTCTTACAGCTTGACAGATATAGGCCTACCCCTGGTCTCACAGACAAGGGTTAAGCCTAGTCTCAGACTAAAATACATTTCTGAGCTGTTTTAACTGAAAGAAACTTGCACTGACATACCTTAAAATATGTCAGTTCCATTGTTTTACTGTATCTCAAGATGCACCAGTAATGTTTTCTTCTGGCACATTTATAAAAGTTACTTAAAAATTTTCTTTTCTTAAGCTTTTTTTATTATTCAGATATTTTGCAGAGTAATTCTATTTGTTAACCAAAGAAGCTTACATTTTTTATTAAAATGCTTAAGTATTATAGTTGTTTTAAAGCTAAAAGGCTCAACTTTTCCATGTTTAACTCAAACTGAAAGAATTAAGTTTCATTTTTATGCATCAAGGTTTATAGGGATTTTATGATGTAATTAACGATTCGAATAATGAAGTTACTTATTGAGTAATTAAGTTACTTTTCAGACAGAGTAATTAGAAAAGTAATTTAAATACAAAATTGATGATGTAATTAGTAATTAATTACGGTTACACTTTATTTTAAGGTGTCCTTGTTACAGTGTAATTATACATTTAAGTACTAAGTAATATTAATTAACTACATGTACTTACTATATGGTTAGGATTAGAGTTTGGTTTAGGGTTACTTGCATGTAATTATGCATAATTAATTGTTATTACAATAGTAAGTACATGTAACATGTAAAAAAAGGACACCTTCAAATAAAAGGTGTTACCTTAATTACTTTTTAAAAGTAACTTACCCAACACTGGGGTGAACTGTATTCAAATGCAGAAGAAAGTTTTATTGATGCTATGTTTGATTTATGTTTTTGCAGAAGGTACAGCTACCTTCATTGCTAAAGTTGGTGGTGATCCCATTCCCAATGTGAAATGGATGAAGGGCAAATGGAGGCAGATGACTCATGGTGGTCGCGTCAGTATTGAACAAAAGGGCCAAGAGGCCAAGTTGGAGATCAAAGAGGTGACCAAATCTGACTCTGGTCAGTACAGATGTGTTGCTTCAAACAAACATGGAGAAATTGAGTGCAGCCCCAACCTGAATGTTGATGAGAAGAAAGAGACCACTTTAGAAATGGTGAAACTGAAGAAGTGAGTGTCTTGTCAAGTTGCAAACCATCCTCAAGAACCCCCCTTGACCAACATTAGTTACAGGCATTTTAATTTAAATGATTTGACTTAATGTCTAAATATGATTATTTTTATTGTTATAAATGATAGATTGTAATTGTAAAAAATAACTGATGTGTCTGATTGTTATTGCTCCATTTGTGCATATTTAAAAAATTTTTTTTAATGAATTTACATTGCAGTTATGTCATTATGCCAATTATGCCACACTATGTAAAACACTGATTGAGATGATAGCTATACAAGATTGCTTAAATTGTGTGCAATATTTTTATTAACAGAACTCCATCTAAGCAGAAAAGCCCTAAAGAGGAAAAGGATATTGACATTGTTGAGTTGCTTAGAAATGTTGATCCCAAGGAGTATGAGAAATATGCCCGCATGTATGGCATCACAGACTTCCGGGGTCTCCTTCAGGCTATTGAGTTTCTGAAGAAGGAAAAAGAACACGAAAGTGGAAGACCGGTAAGATTGATTCCGATAACAGTACAACAGCATCATATAGTTCCCTTCAGAAGATAAGATCAAGCACATTGCTTCTGTATCAATTTAGTGATGTGTTTTTATGAAATTTTGTGTTGATTGAAATTAGCAAAGTGCAGTGTAACCTTAAAGCAGCACTATGTAACTTTTGGCGCTCTAGCGGTTAATAAACAGAACTGCACACATCCTGCTGAAGAACATTCCAACCGGAGTTACTTCTCTGAGTTTATGTCTATGGCGATTCACGCAGGTATGTGTTACTCCGTAGTGGTGACGACCTGACCAGACTACAATAGTCCAAATATAAGTACTTATTATAAGTGTACCGTAGTGATTCGGAATAAGACAAAAACGCGGTTTGGAAGATGAATTCATGATGTACTCGCTCATTACATATATTTAGCAAATTTTGAACACAGAAAAAGTTACATAGTGTTGCTTTAAGCTTTTAATAAACATTACTTTGACACATGATAATATTCCTCTTAATTGATAACGTTCAAAGTTTTACTTAAATTTGCCAAATTTACCAAGTGGCAAAAATCTAACAAAAAAATGTGGTCAAGGAAGGTTCTAGTGACATTTACCTTTCAGGAACTCACCTTTCAAGCCAGGAATGAGAGTAAATTATATAAATTGTTTAATTGCTTGGATTTATTACATTTCAGGAAGTGGAAAGTGGTGCAAGAGAGTCTGAGGAGGATTTGGCTAAACTTGTTGCCGATTTGCAAAAGAGGATGGAACAAACTGAGGTTTGAAATCTAATTTTGTTATTTGTATTAAATAAACTCTTGCAGACAGCAAATTTCATTGTATTGAATAACAAAGCATCAAACCAAGTGGCATATCTTTTAAAGAATTATAGCACAATCATACGTAGTGAAAAGTGCATTTAGACACTTTCTGGTTGTCATACTTTAATGAAAGATGTCTATAATGTTGAAAACTACACCTGTGGTTTATTTGCTAGGACGCATGTTAGTTTTGTGTAAGTTAGGCTGCCTGCAAGTGCACATGGGAAGCCCGTACCTCAGAGTTGGGCATTTGTTATTATGACAAGTTGGACAAATACAGAAGTATCTTACTATGTATAATGTTACACAATATTTACAGTATGTTTTATACTGTAAATATTATGTAACGTTATACCCAGTTCTGAAAAGAAAATGATTAAAACCAGTAATTATCATTTATTTCTGCATGGTATTTTCAAAACATTACATAAAGCAACAGTCACAGTCAAAGGAGTGTGATTGAAGCTCTTTCATACGTAGTGCCATATTATTATTATTATTAAAAAAGAGTGTAAGAAATTTAATATAGCTATGCAGAATCATTACCATTCATAACGAGGCCCCTTACAAAGTCGGCAACTCAGGTATTATCTAGAATTCAGTTTGCTAAATGCAAAAATCTACTTTTTTCAACTTTGGTTAATGTCTAGATACTATGCAAATACTTTTTATAACCACTGTATGTCATTTACAGTGTGTTCTTTTGTTTTCTATGCAGCCTGTCACTGTGGTACGTGACATCACGGACCAGACAACTACTGTTAAGAAGGAATCTGTGTTTGAATGTGAAATCAAGATCAACTACCCGGAAATCACACTGTCCTGGTACAAAGGAACCCAAAAACTCACGTTATACCCAGTTCTGAAAAGAAAATGATTAAAACCAGTAATTATCATTTATTTCTGCATGGTATTTTCAAAACATTACATAAAGCAACAGTCAAAGGAGTGTGATTGAAGCTCTTTCATACGTAGTGCCATATTATTATTATTATTAAAAAAGAGTGTAAGAAATTTAATATAGCTATGCAGAATCATTACCATTCATAACGAGGCCCCTTACAAAGTCGGCAACTCAGGTATTATCTAGAATTCAGTTTGCTAAATGCAAAAATCTACTTTTTTCAACTTTGGTTAATGTCTAGATACTATGCAAATACTTTTTATAACCACTGTATGTCATTTACAGTGTGTTCTTTTGTTTTCTATGCAGCCTGTCACTGTGGTACGTGACATCACGGACCAGACAACTACTGTTAAGAAGGAATCTGTGTTTGAATGTGAAATCAAGATCAACTACCCGGAAATCACACTGTCCTGGTACAAAGGAACCCAAAAACTTGACAGTAGTGACAAGTATGACATCAAAATTGTGGGTGATCGTCACATCTTAAAGATCAAGGATTGCCAGATGAGAGATGAGGGCAATTATCGTATTGTGTGTGGCCCACATATCTCCAGTGCCAAACTGACAGTGCTGGGTGTGTAGCAACATCATTTGATTATCTTTTTAGTGAAAGCCCTAAATTATATCCTATACTCTAAGTTTTTACAATATTGACCCTTATTCTCTCTGCAGATGCTGAAGTGGAACAGCGTATGCAGGATGTGGCTGGTAAGGAAGGCCAAACTTGTGCATTGACTTGCCAGCTCTCTGTACCTAATGTAAAAACCCAGTGGTTTAAAAATGGGAAGCTTTTAGAACCTCACAGCAGATACACATTTGCTGTGGCAAATTACGCTCAGAAGCTCTCAATCAAAGATGTTAGACCTGAAGACCAAGGAGAATATACCTGCAAATACAAAAATCTTGAAACGACTGCAAATCTTTGGATCGAAGGTTTGTATAGATTCACTGAACTGTCAGACTTACGTTTACTGTAAATTATACCATCTACTAACCTCTTTTTTCATCATCTGTGACTACTTCTTCTTCACTTCTTATGGAAAAACTCTTCTTATTTTAAATGCCAGGGAAATTTTGCCTTCACATTTTCCTGGCTTTCTTAATAGCAAATCTTAATGGACTATATTAGGCAGAAAAAAAGGTTACGGCATTAGATTCTAGTCCTAATCATCCACCTTGCGTTATCTTTTTCTAGCCAAGCAAATACATTTCACCAAACGCATCCAGAACATTGTGGTGCGAGAACATCAGTCAGCCACTTTTGAGTGTGAGGTGTCTTTTGACAATGCTATTGTAACATGGTATAAGGACACTTGGGAGCTTAAAGAGAGTCCCAAATATACCTTCCGAAGTGAAGGGCGACGCCACTTCATGATCATCCGCAACGTTACCTCTGCCGATGAAGGTTTGTGGAGTTCCAATGCGGGACCATTTTTCGTTTTAATAATATTAAATAAAAAGGCCCATTTAACCAAATTAATAATCCTTTAGGCGTGTACTCGGTCATTGTCAGATTGGAGCCCAGGGGTGAGGCTAAAAGTACAGCTGAGCTTTACCTGTCAGGCAAAGGTCGGTACAGCTGTCGAGCTCCAGCATTTACTTAACTAACATTCTCTAATATATGAAGGCTCCTTACAGGTATTTTTTCTTTGTTTTTTTTTCTCTCAGAAATTGATATAGAAAGGGTACCTTATGGTAAGTATGTGACAAATTTTTTTTTAACCTTTATAACACCTTTAGTGCATATTGACAGATTATTTCACACAGTTCATTAATTTATATAAGTAAGCTTAAAAATTTTCAATTACACTTACACAGACATCCCAGATACATCAATACAAGTGCCTGAAGCAGCTGCGTTAACCATTGAAGGTGAGATTGAGAAATCTATGTAAAATGACTTCTGAAAATACATAAATCTCTATCCTCAAAATCAGTGATAGTTACTCATAAACTTATTATTTTTGATAAGCTGAATCTTCCATGGGATATTACCATTACGAAGAAAAAATGGAAACACAAGGTAAACTGCATAATTATGAGAATAATAAAACTGACATTTTCACCTCATCGTTTTCATATAGTATCATTCACTAAAACGGACAAAAATCACTTCACTATGAAAATCATTTAACTTCATCTGTTTTAACCATCAATCTGTTCAACAACACCAAAATAAATTAAATAACACAGTTTTTTTAACAGTTTTGTTTTGTCTGTTTCCCAACATCTTGCGTGAAATAACCAAATAACGTCAATATTTAAAGTATTCGTCTTTGGACACGTGTAACAACTTTTTACCCTTTACCAGAGTATGTGAGCTGGACAGCGGAGAGTGTTGTAGAGGAAATATCAGTTACAGGTATTACTGAGAGCTTTTGAGTCTACAAATATAATTTCTAACCCTCTTTCCACTTTTGTTTACCCACATAATGTATTTATATGTCTTGTATGTATTTGTGTTATTCATATTAATGTCTGTATCTCCCCTTGTTTTCACCCTGTCCTCACAATGTACGATTAATGTACTGTATGTGTTGTTATGTGTTGTCATACATTTACCAGTCTGACTTTGTTTATATGTGTAGCTTTACCAACGTAAATATTTCTGAACAGATTTATGTTTTTTTGTGTTTTCGTATGTTTCTCCAAAGCCAGTTGTTATTGTAATTATGGCGGTTATTCTAAGGACTTTCTTTGTTTCATCAGCCCCAAGGGTGCCAGTCGAAGAGGCTGTCAGTAGAAAAACCCTGGGAATGAGAGAGGTGGCTCCAACAACAGGTACTGAAAGAGAAAGAGCTTGCTGCTTTGCTACTTGTTGGCAAACATGCTTACATCATCCTCATGTCTGTCGTTTTTATGTGTCTTATTGTAAAATTGTGTGTTTACTTTCACCTTTGTTGTGCCGTGTCATGTGTTATCAGTGTTGTGTGCTGTTAATGTTTGTGATATTTGCTTCTGTGGCAGCTGCAAATTAATGAACAATTTTGGTGTAATAATAAGTTTTAAAATGAAATGTTGCACACAAATTTATATTTTACATACTTTTTTTCTGCTTTTTGAATTTTCTTAACTTCAGTAATGCTTTGATGCTATTCTGTATTGTGTGGATGTGTCAGTTCGTCTATGTGTAAATGTCAGTGATATCTCCGTAATTCTTGTCCTGATGCTTATGCATGGTTGCTTTCAAAGCTGAAGCTACTAGTTTGATATTATAGAGTTAATTGTTCTTAATATTCTCAAAGAATTCGAGGAACCTGAGCCATCTAAACCAGTGGAGCTAGTGCCTGAAGTACCTGTGAAAGGTATGCAGATGTCTGTCCAATGTGCTCCCGTGCTGTGTCCATAAGTTGCTGTTTTAATCCATTTTTGTGTGTCTATAGAGCTCTTTATAAACATTCTTTCTATTCTATCTGTGATGTTAATATTCTGTTGTAGTGTTATTTTTTTGTCTAATTGAATATTCTTACAGCATTTGTAATTCCTTTTTACCCAAAAGCCAAAAAGCCTGTGGAAGAAATAGTTACTGCAGTTATATTGCCAGAGCCAATTGAACCCCCCACAGCAAAAGGTATGGAAAGAACACGTCATTATTTGCTGTTCTGTCCTGTTCTGTCCATATACACCTTTTAAGCGAATCAAGTCTGTTTTAAGTCATTTGTAAATGTAAATGTTTGTTTATATGTTATTGCAACAACTTTTTTGTGAACATATTGATTTTTTTTGTCTTTTTGACTTTTAGATGTGACCCTCTTAATTCTGTTAATTGATGTTAAGTCTACGTGTTCTTATTGCATGCAACAGCAATTGTCAAATCTTGTGTCTGTTCTTTTTTATTTGTCTTGTCTTTCTCTGTTTGAGGTATGAGTTGAATTGTACCGCACTGTTATTTTCATTCATGCCTTAACTCTTCTGAAACTCTACAAATGTACTAATACCAAAAATATGTTATATGAAGAAGTGCCACAGCCAGCAGCACCTGTAGCTCCTGTGCCTTCTGCACCTAAGCCTGAAGAGCCTAAAGCTGCACCAGTAGCTGAGCCCAAACCAGAACCAAAGCCTAAGCCTGAGCCTACACCTGTGAAAAAACCTGAGCCACCCCCAGCCAAAGGTACTGTTAATTGCTTATACTTCATGTTGTGTAGGATTGTCTATGAGCTTTTCATATAACGTCTGTTGTTGCAATTGTCCAGCTTCCATCAGGAAGTGCACTGAATGTGACACTGTGTGTTATTTAATGTGTGCTTATGAAAATTAAACTGTAAACAATACAATGCATGTTCTTTGAAGTTCTTGTGGAGGAAAAGCCAAAACCAACAATTCAAGAACCACCAAAGAAAGTGCCAGCTAAACCCCATGAAGCCATAGCAGTTCCAGTGGAAGAACCGCCAAAGAAAGGTATAGACTCACTTTGTTTCTGTTGTATGTGTGTTTCTTTATTAAGTAGCCACATTCTTATAAGGAACACATGACTTACAGTGGATTTTGTATATGTCAATGTCTTTGTCCTGCAATATTGATTTTTTTTGTTGTATGTTAGATTGCAGACACGTTATTTTGTGTGGGTTTCTTGTCTACAAGTTTTCATATACCTGTATTTGTTGTGCGATTGTCCATCTTCCATTAAGAAGTGTGTTATATGTGATACTGTGTGTTCTTTCAAACCATACGATGCATGTTCTTTAAAGTTCTTGTGGAGGAAAAGAAGCCAGAACCACCAAAGAAGTTGCCAGCTAAACCTGATAAAGCCATTTCAGTTCCGGTGGAAGAACCTCCAAAGAAAGGTATAGACTCACCTTTTGATGTAGGGCTATTTTCTGTTGTATGCGTGTTTCTTTTTTAACTAGCCACACTCGTATTAGGAACACATGACTTAGGGTGGCTTTTATGTTAATGTCTTTGTCCTGCAATATTACATTTTTTTTTGTACTCTCATTATATTTATTATGTACTGTTCATTGTTTATGCTTTATTTGTGTGGGTTTCTTTTCTACAAGCTTTTTATATACCTGTCTTTGTTGTTTGTCCAGCTTCCATTAGGTCGCATGTTATATGTGACACTGTGCGTTCTTTGTCGTGTGTTGTGAAAATGAATCTTTAAACCATACAATGCATGCCCTTTAAAGTTCTTGTGGAGGAAAAGAAGCCAGAACCACCAAAGAAATTGCCAGCTAAACCTGATGAAGCCATTGCAGTTCCGGTGGAAGAACCTCCAAAGAAAGGTATAGACTCACTTTTTGTATGTAAGGCTATTTTCTGTTGTATGTGTGTTTCTTTTTTAACTAGCCACACTCTTATTAGGAACACATGACGTGGCTTTTATGTCAATGTCTTTGTCCTGCAGTATTACTGTTGTACTCTTATTGTTATGTACTGTTAATTGCTTATGCGTTATATTGTGTGGGTTTCTTGTCTACAAGTTTTCATATACCTGTCTTTGTTGTCCAGCTTCCATTAAGAAGAGTGTTATATGTCATACTGTGTGTTCTTTCATGTGTGGCTATGGAAATTAACCTTTAAACCATACGATGCATGTTCTTTAAAGTTCTTGTGGAGGAAAAGAAACCAAAACCACCAATTCAAGAACCACCAAAGAAAATGCCAGCTAAACCTGATGAAGCCATTAAAGTTCCAGAGGCAGAACCTCCAAAGAAAGGTATAGACTCACTTTTTGTATGTAGGGCTACTTTGTTATATGTTTGTTTCTTCGTTAACTTGCCAAACTCTTCTGAGGAACACACAACCTTACTGTGACTTTTGTTTATGTCATTGTGTTTGTCCTGCAATATTATTGGGTTTCAGTGTATGTTTATTATTGGGTACTGTTCATCGCTTATGTTTTATGTCATGTGGTTTTCTTGTTTAAGGGCTTTTCACATACCCATCTTTATTGTTGCAATTGTCTAGCTTCCATTAGGAAGCGTATTGTATGTGACACTGTGTGTTTTAGATGTGTGCTTATGAAAATGAATCTTTAAACAATACAATGCGTGTCCTTTAAAGTTCTTGTGGAGGAAAAGAAACCAAAACCACCAATTCAAGAACCACCAAAGAAAGTCCCATCTAAACCTGAGCAAGTGATTACAGTGGAAGAACCTCCAAAGAAAGGTATAGACATATACTAGGTTTTGTATGTAAGGCTGTTTTCTGTTGTATGTTTGTTTCTTTATTAACTAGCCACACTCTTATGAGGAACACGTGACAGTGGGTTTTGTTTATGTTATTGTCTTTGTCCTGCATTATTATTGGGATTGGGTGTATTCTTATTGGTAGCTTCTACCATATCTTTTACATCCTATGTCTTGGTTTCTTATGTATCTTAAGTCTTATATATTTAAATGATATTTCACTCCTCTTCTCTCACTCTTAAAACAGTGCAATTTGAAGCATTGTTCTTAACTTTAATATTCTTTCTAAGTGCAAGAACCTTCCAAGAAGTCAGAGGCCCCTCCGTTTTTGCCTACACAGAGAGAAGACTTGATTGAGGAAATAGGTTATAAGAAACCAGATGCTGCTGTTCACAAATTAGAAGATAAAGAGAGCAAGGTGCCTCAGAAGCAAGAGACTGTTGCTGGTATCAAAAAGGAAGAAATTACAGACAAACTACTTACAAAAGAGACTGTTCCTATCCCTAAAAAGCAGGAAAAGCAAGAGGTACCCCTTCCTTCTAAAAAGGATGAGGCAATTGAACCTAAAAAGAAAGTGGTTCCTCTTCCTCCTAAAAAGGATGAGGCAATTGAACCTAAAAAGAAAGTGGTTCCTCTTCCTCCTAAAAAGGATGAGGCAATTGAACCTAAAAAGAAAGTGGTTCCTCTTCCTCCTAAAAAGGATGAGGCAATTGAACCTAAAAAGAAAGTGGTTCCTCTTCCTCCTAAAAAGGATGAAATTGTACCTCAAATGAAAGAGGTTCCTCTTCCTGCTAAACAAGTTGAGGAAATATTACCTAAAAAGAAAGATGTTCCTCCTTCTCCTAAAAAGGATGAAGTTGTACCTCAAAAGAAAGAGGTTCCTCTTCCCCCTAAAAAGGATGAGGCAATTGAACCTAAAAAGAAAGAGGTTCCTTTTCCTGCTAAACAGGATGAGGAAATATTATCTAAAAAGAAAGAGGTTCCTCTTCCTCCTAAAAAGGATGAGGCAATTGAACTGAAAAAGAAAGTGGTTCCTCTTCCTCCTAAAAAGGATGAAATTGTACCGCAAAAGACAGAGATTCTTAAAAAAGATGTGCCTCAAACTGTACTTCAAAAGAAAGAGGTACTTCCCACACAAATTTCAGAGAAGAAAGAAGAAAAAGACGTTTTCTTCATGAAAGAAATTACACATCTACAGAAGGAAGTAATAGCTCCTGCACAAATTGTAGAGATGAAAGAAGAAATCGAAGAAATTTTCTTCAGAGAAGAAATTACACAGATGGAAGTATCACTTAAATCAAAACTGGAAGAGAAAGAAGATATTTTACCTAAAAAGAAGGAAGTAGTTGCTCTCACTAAAAAAGAAGAGGTCGTAATGACTCAAAAGAAAGAAGTTCCTCTTCCTGCTAAAAAGGATGAAGAAATTGTACCCCAAAAGAAAGAGGTGACCCCTACAAAAGGTACAATGATCTAGGACAACATCTGATTGTCCGTTCTTCTAATTCTTTACCTTCCTGTCTTAGAAATGACTTTCTTTGAACTTCTTAACTATTTTATTGAACAAATTTCTTTGTCTGTGTAGTCCCATATATGTTTGTCACTTGTCTCTTGTCCTTCTCTAGTTTGTTCTTATTCTTCTTCATTAACCTCTTACACTCGCTAGAGTGATCTCTTGATCTTATAGATGTGAATCTTACATATTTCATACTCTCTTAAGTTACTTTGGATTCAACAAAATCTACAACAGAAGAGCTGCAAAGAAAGCCGGATACAATTATTTTTCTACCGAAGAAATATGAGAAGACCGAAGGTACATAAATCAAACACAAATCTTTTTTTCTATTGAACATCATTTTGTCTTCATATTCTGTTACAATCCCATGAAGTATATTAAGTCCAGCAATACTTAATGTCTTTCAAGTGGGTGAAACCAAATCCCAAAAGGTCCAAACTGCTCAAACACCACAAATCACTTAGGGATAAGAGAAGTCACACCCTGTTAAAAGTACAGTTTATGAAATCGCTGTGGGAGAATTTGTGTAAATTTCTTTAAAATATAATTGCTCTTAAATGAATCTTTCTTATAAAGAACTCCGAGTTGTTTCAAAGCCTGAGACAGTATTAATTTCTCCATATTCACCACTTACTTAAATGATTTCTCAGAAGAAATGCACATGCAATTCAGACTGTTTAGTGTTAAGTGTACTCCTTTAGTATATTTAGATTTATGATGAGTCTCTCTTACAAAAGAATTGTCTTTCTATTATCTATCAATCTCTTGGTTCAACTGTTGGGTACAAATTCTTCTTCACATTCAAAATCTTCAAGAATCCACTTCTGTCCTGAGGAAGGATGAAGTCACACCATCAGACAGTCAGAAAATTGCAATGAAAATTGCAATGAAGTCTCTTCTAATGGAAGAAACTTCAAAAGAGGACGCCTCTCATCGAAAAGCTGTATCACAAACAGAAATACTGTATGACAGAAAACATGGCAAAGAAATTGATGATTTACAAATTTCAAAACTGGGGGATTCTTCAAAAGAAAGTATATTGACTTCAGAAGAATTTAGGATGAGTGAAACATGTTCTGGTGATGAACCATCTAGACCACTTGTAATGACAGGTAAGATACAAATAATATACAGTGCTTAAATTATGATTTACAAATTGTGACTATATGATCACTGAGAGTTTTAGAGGATTTGTACCTTTTGTAGTCTCTGTAATCAGATCACTGCAATTTCAAAATCATGAAACGAAAAGAGTTGTTTCAAAGACTGAGACAGTATTAATTCTTCCACATTCTACTTTTACAGAAGCTATTTTAAAACAACATTCTTTTGAAGTGCAAGAACCTTCCAGGAAGCCAGATGTTGTTCTGTCACTGGCTACAGAGAAAGGAGATTTAATTGAGGACATAGGTCATAAGAAACTAGTTGTTGTAGATAGTAAATCAGAAGGTAGAGAAGGCAAAATACCTCAAGAGAGAGAGACAGATGCTGGTCCCAAAAAAGAGGAAACCGCAGACAAAATTCCTAAAAAAGTGACTATTGCCACCCCTAAAAAGAAGGATGAAATTGTACTTCAAATAGAAATGTTTGCTGTCTCTGCTAAAAAGGATGAGGTTCCTCTTCCTCCCAGGACAGATGAAGAATTAGTGCTCCAAAAGAAAGAGGTTCATCTTCCCCATAAAAAGGAAGAGAAACGTGCACTTCAAACGATAGAGGTTCCTCTTCCTGCTAAACAGGATGAGGAAATGTTACCTAAAAAGAAAGATTTTCCTCCCAGAAAAGATGAGGAAATTGTATTTGAAAAGAAAGAGATCCTTCTTCCTCCCAGAGAGGTTGAGGAAATATTGTCTAAAAATAAAGAGATTTCTGTTCCCTTTAAAAAAGAAGAGGAAATTGCACTCAAAAAGAAAGAGGTTCCTCTTCATTCTAAACAGGATGAGGAAATGTTATCTAAAAAGAAAGATGTTTTTCCCAGAAAGGATGATGAAATATTGCGTAAAAAGAAAGAAATTGTATCTAAAAAGAAAGGGGCACCTTGTAAAAAGGAAGAGGAAATTGCACTTCAAAAGAAAGAAGGTTCTCTTACTACTAAATGGGATGAGGAAATTGTGTTTGAAAAGAAAGAGATGGTTCTTCCTCCTAGAAAGGATGAGGAAATCTGGCCTAAAAATAAAAAGATTCCTCCTTCCCATAAAAATGATGAGGAGATTGCACTTCAGAAAAAAGAGCTCCCTCTTCCTGCTAAACAGGATGAGGAAATGTTACAGAAAAAGAAAGATGTTCCTCCCAGAAAAGATGAGGAAATTGTATTTAAAAAGAAAGAGATGGTTCTTCCTCCCAGAATGGACAAGGGAATACTGCCTGAAAAGAAAGAGGTTATTTGTTCTCCCAGAATTAATGAGGAAATAATGTCCAAAGAGAAAGAGATTCATCTTCCCTCTAAAATAGAAGAGGAAATTGTGTCTAAAAACAAAGTAGTTTGTCTTCTTCCCAGAAAAGATGAGGAAGTTGTTAAGGTTGAGATTTACCTCCCTTCTAAAAAAGATGAGGAATTTGTACTTAAAAAGAAAGAGGTTCCTCTTCTTCCTAAAAGGGATGAGGAAATGTACCTTCAAAAGAAAGAGGCTCCTTTGCATTGTAAGGATGAGAACATGTTAACTCAAATGAAAGAGGTTCCTCTTCCTCCTAAAAAGGATGAGGAAACCATAACTCAAAATGAAGACATAGCTCTCTCACCCACAGCACAAGTAGTAGTTCCACTGAGAAGGAAGCAGGCTGTCAGTGCTCCTAAAACAGAAGAAACTATGCCTCAGAGGAAAGAGATAGCCCACGCACAAATTTCAATGGAGAATGAAGAAAGTTCACTTAAAAGAAAAGAAGTTACTCCTCGTCTTGATAGGGCAGAAATTCCACACAAGACGGAAGTGTCCTACTTACTTAAACTGGAAGAGAAGGAAGATAATATGCCAAAACAGGAGGTTGTTACAATTCCTAAAACAGAGGAACTTGTGCACCAAAAGAAAAAGGTCATTTCCGAGCATAAACCACAGGGGAAAGATGATGCTCAGCCTAAAAAGAAGGAAATTGTTGCTGTCACTAAAAAAGCAGATGCTATAGTACCTCAAAAGAAAGAGGTTATTCTTCCTTCTAAAAAGCTTGAAGAAATTGTTCCTCAAAAGAAAGAGGTTACCCCTGCAAAAGGTATAATGATATCAAACAACATCTGGTTGTCTATTTCTCTTATTCGAAAACTTGGTTTCTTAGAAATGATTTTCTTTGAGCATCAAATCTTTCAATCTTAGAGTGTTTATATGTGATATGTGGTCTTGTGTATCAGTCTTCTTGCAATTACATCAAGTTGGATACTTCCAGAGGAAAATACTTTAATACCAAAAAAAAAAAAAAATCAGGACAATTTTTTTTTTCTGACTAACCTCTTCTTTGTTCTTTTGTCTTGAAGTCATAATGTTACGACCCCTGATCATTTTCTCTGTTTTGTGTTAGAAACATTTTATATTATGTTTGTGGTGTTTAATGGTAAAATTACAAAAATTGTGTTTGAGGTTATAATGTACAATTTTATTTGTGATGTAAAGTAGCAGAGCTAGAGAAGAAGCCATCTCCAGAGAAGACACCTGTTTCTGTGAAAGACTTCACAGCCCCAAAAGGTAGAGAGTACTGTGGGGATTCTTCAACAAACTCTTTTGTCATACTAAATTTTATGTTTCAGTTTGTCATATTATGGTGGTCTCTTTTTGTTGTTAGTCCTGCTTTTGTCAAGTCCAATCTTTAATGTATATCTTGTTGTATCTCATATCTTGTTGTCAAAGGTTTATTATTTGTTCATTATAACTTCATATCTTCTGTCATAATAACACCTTAAAATGTTGAAATGTTACAGTTGAAAAGAAACCATCTCCAGAACCTGAAAGAAAGAAAGAACCTTTGCCAGAGACTGTTTCCCCAACAGGTACTTTTTTTGTTTGTGATATGTTTTGTCTAATAACAATGCTTGTTTCTTTAGCACATCCTTACATCAATAGAGCCTTAACACACTGTACATTTGCTGTCATGTTTTTATGTTGTTCTGTATCATTTGTGTGTTGTGTGTCATTGTAACAAAATAGTCTTAATGATTAAAGGTTCATGCTTGGTGAACCACTCTTATTTAGAAAAGTAACTTTATTAGTATTGTCACAATGTTGTGTTGTGTTAAGCCTCTTAGAGGTGCTGAAAACATGTTCTGTCAAGTCTAAGTTTATGTGAAAGCATGTCATTATTGTTGTTTGCATGAGTGAATTCTTAATATTCTCAAATTTCCACAGCAAATATCTTCCAAACATATTTTCTTGCAATAATTCCTTAAAATATAATATGTGTATCATTTCATATATTGTTTGTCATGCATGTAATATCTGTGTATCTGTTTCTTAACCTCGATAGAGGTTTAAAAGGTTTTATTCTTTCATTACATTGTGTTATCTTCAATATCTTTCAACTTGAATTGATGTCAAACAATACACTCTATTTTAAGTGAAAGAGGTCGATAAGAAAGCTGAAGATAAACTCATCTCTAAGCCCAAGGAAGAGAAGATAATTCCAACAAAAGGTATTATGGTAACCACAAGTCTGCATCCGTGTACTGTGCTGAAAAGGAATGTCTAGTTTTGAAATCTCATCACATCTTTGAAATTCCTTTTTGAAGTACCTACACCTAAAGAACCAGAGAAGCTAAAGCCTGCTCCAAAGGAAGAACCGGTACCAATTGTCCAAACCGTGGAAGGTACTGAAACTGAAACTCTTTTTCATACTCCCACTGTTTATAAAATATCTTTGGGTAATTATCTTTATTGAAAATTTTTTTGTTAATAACAGGTAGGTCATCATTTCTTAATGTGTTTTCTTAATTTTTTTTCCTAAACTTTTTCTTAACTTTAGTAAGATGTGTGGTAATGTCTGTCATGTTGTCTTGTATGTGCTTCTGATATGTGTAAGCTATTAAGTGATCCTCACAGCATCCCCCATTCCACTTAATGAAAAGACGTGTCTTATTTATATCTCAGCAGTTTAACTCACAAACAGTTACTCAAAAAAGACAATAAAATATGTATATCAAAACAGATTCACATTACAAATAAAAAATGCCCCCAAAGCATTTTCTGCACATTTCCAATATTTCATTTCGACACATTTCTTTGCACTACATAACAAAATATTGTTATTGTGAATTATTTTAACTATTTGTGACAACTTTTCTAAATCAGATGGTGAAAAGGGACCCGTTTCTGCACCTGCTCCAGGAAAGAAAGGTAAGAAAAAAAATGTGATTCTTAAAACTTAAAATCTTTTCTCACAGATGGCAGAGCCATTTCAGATTATATGTTCTCTTCAGTTGTGTTATATGATATTTTGAATTTTGTTATGTGTATTGAAATATATTGAATGTTGTCAGTACCATCTTGTTAGTTTGTCTGTTATTGATTGTGTCCTTTAGTCTTTTGTTATGTTTTGTCTTGAAATAGTTTGTTGTACTGGCAAAAGTACGTCAGTGTGTTAAATGTGCTGTGTTTATGGTTGTTTTTTATGTATCGTTCGCTTTATAATGGCATACATTTCCAAATCTAAAGGAAAAGTTCTTAAAGTGAAGCAAGAAGAGGGAAGATTTGAAATTCCCACCTTAAAGAAACCTACAAGAGTTTCCAAAGATAAAGACGAAGATCAAGAAATGGTAAAACTGAAGAAAGTGCTCAAACCACAAGAGGAGGAATATAAAGAGAGTCCCAAAGTGTATGCTGAGGCTCATACTGAAGTTATGATAACTGAAAGTTATGAGGCAGAAATGCATTTTGAGACTTATGAAGTGACTAAGAGAGTTGAGAAAATCCAACCTGAGGTAGGCAAAAAGATGCCTGATGAACCTGAGCAAGCACCACCTCAAATAAAACCAGAAACCGTATTAGAAGAAAAAGTGAAAAAGACACCAATTGGAAAGGTTCCAAAAAAAGATACACCGGAGGAGCCTGGCTTAGCTCTGAAAAAGGTTAAAAAGTTACCAGTAGACACAAAAGAACAAGAATCTGTCAAATTAAAGCCATTTGAGAAACCTGTAAAACCGCCAAGTGAAACCGAAAAAGACACCAAAAAAGAAGAAAAAGGAAGAGAACCTATAACTTTTGACAGAAGTAGGGAACCAGTTACTTTTCAGAAAGGAGACCGACCTGAAAAGGATGAGAAGCCAAAAGAACCCGATGTCCTCACGAAAAAAGAAGTGCCCTCCGTTCCTGACAAAAAGGTGCCTGATGAAGTTGCTGTTAAACCTGTAACCAGACCTCCCAAAGAGGAAGCACCTACAGAGCCTAAAGATAAATTATTTAAAGGTAAAGGTAAAATTCCATCTAAAGATCAGGAGCCTGAGGTGGTTCAACTAAAACCAATTCCGAAGAAACCTTCAGCTGGATCACCAAAAGAAAAGGAGGTTCCAGAGCCAAAAGAACGAAAACCAATTGAGTTGTCACCACTTACTAGGCCACCAAAAGATGAAGTTAAAACAGAACCAAGTATTCCACCAAAAAGAGTTGACAGTCAAGAAACTCCAGATAAAGGTAAAGAGGTTGAGAAGATACCAACTATTGTACCAGTAGAAGACAAAAAGGTACCGCTTAAAAAGTTTATGCCGGTAAAGAAGGAGATTACACCAAAGGAGGATGAGAAGAAGCCAATAGTCACCAAAAAGGGTATTTTACCCAAAGAGGCTGAGAAGAAAGAAGACATAATTCTAAAACCAGTTGAGCGTGCAAAGAGTGCAGTAGAGCCTGAAAAGATTCCTTCGCCTAAGGTTGAGAAACCAAAATCAACTGAACCAGTCTCAGTGGAGAGGAAGCCTAGTGAGGATTTAGCAAAGAAGCCAAAGAAAGTTTCACCCAAAGACTCGATTGAAGCTGTTATTTTGAAGAAAGTACCTCAGAAGGTTTCACCTAAGGAGGACAAATCTGAAGAAACTCCTCAGATCCCTGAAAAAGAGGAGATTCCAGTCAAAAAGGAACTGTCTCCTGGAGCTGTAGAGTTAAGAAAAGTGTCAACTCAGTTTGAAGAAGAACTGTTTGAAGAAGAGGTTGAGGTTGAATTTGAAGCGGAATATGAAGATGAAGAAGAAGCATGGGGATGGGAGGTTGCTTCTCGAGAGAGTTATGGATCAGAAGGCTCTGAAGAAAGGTATCTGGAGGAAGGGGCACTTGAGACTCCTGGGATGCCAGGGGGTAGACGAGGTGAGAGGGTGGCTGTGAGCTACACCAAAGAATGCCTCATTTTCCGTGCTATGGAATCCATCTCCCTGTTGTTATTTATTTTCACCCCAGATAATTTCCATGTCTACATCCATTTCCATCCACATAAACTGATAAATCTTGTCTGCCTCCTTCTTCATCTTCTTCAATATTCGTTGTGGCATGTGTGTTGTATTTTAATGTCTTTTCATCTTGTTTGTTGTTTATCTGTGTGTCTTCATTGATCTACGGCATATAACCACTGGTGGAAAGAATGGTCATTGCGTTGGGATTGTAATTTGTCATCTAACTTCTCATTAATTGGCAGCATGATTCTGTCATCTTCATGACTCTTCATTCCCATGTTTAATATTTACCTTTTGTCTCTAAGTGTTTTTTTCAGTACTGGACATTTTAATTTAACTTAAAATATATTTTCCATTTCCATGAATTGGAAATAATTGATTTTTGTTTGTTCAGAGGGAAAGCCTAAAGAGGAAGCTGGAAGAGGCAGAGGCTTAAGACGTAAGTTTATTTATTAAATTATTTTGATGATTTTTCATCAAATTTTTTTCCCTCAGCCATTTTAAGCATTGCTTTATACATTAGTCATGACAGCTCAGCAACAGATATATGTATATCAGTATGTAATGTGCTTACTATTTGCAGAAGTAGTAGTTCCATTTAATCCTCTTTTTGCATTACAGCAAGACAAACTCCATCTCCTGGTGATGCTGGAAGGGGTAGAGGGCTGAAGCCTGGTGCTGGTGGTGATAAGCCTCCAGGAGAATCACCATTTGGTGCCCAGCTCAAAGCCGTCCCCTTGAATTTTGTGAAGAAGCTCAAAGATATTGTGTTGCAGGAGGCCGAGTCCATTGGCTCCTCTGCTGTATTTGAGTGCCAGATCTCTCCATCTACTGCTATCACCACCTGGATGAAAGATGGAAGCAATCTAAGGGAGAGTCCAAAGCACAAATTCACATCTGATGGCAAAGACCGCAAACTGGCCATCATTGATGTACAGCTTTCAGACACTGGGGAGTACACATGTGTTGCAAAGCTTGGCAAAAATGAGAAGACCTCAACAGCTAAACTTATTGTTGAAGGTAGTGCATTGATTATGAGTAAAAACTGTGAATATACAAGCTTAGTCTTATACAAATATATATTCAAAAAATACTACCCAATGAATTGAGATGTCCTTCTGTTTGTTTGTTTTTTTTCCGTTTTGATAGAGTTACCAGTGAAGTTCACAAAGAATCTGGAGGAGGAAATGTCTGTGATTAAGGGACAGCCAATGTACTTAACCTGCGAGTTGAGCAAAGACAGGGATGTTGTCTGGAAGAAGGACGGAAAAGAGCTCAAGCAAATTGCTGGCAAAATTCAAATCAGTGTTATTGGATTGCAGCGCTCTGTGACAATTCAAGACACAAATGACGATGATGCCGGTGTTTACACTTGCGAGTGCGAGGACATCAAGTCACAAGCCAATGTGAAAGTCATTGGTATGCATATGGAAAATATTCATGGTTATTTATATTAGTTCTTTACCAAAACATAACTAAACAAAATATCTACCTTTGCAGAAATAATCAGAGATTGGTTAACAAAACCTTTGAGGGACCAGCATGTGAAACCAAAGGCTACTGCCACATTCAAGTGCGAACTGTACAAGGATACTCCTAACTGGAAGTGGTTCAAGGGAGATGAAGAAATTCCCACTGACCCTACAAATAAGACTGAGGTGAAAAAGGATGGAAAAGATATCACGCTTACAATCAAGAATGCTCAACCTGGTGATGTTGGAGAATATGCCATAGAAGTTGAGGGCCGCAGATATGCAGCAAAACTCTCTCTTGGAGGTGTGTTAGGCAGCCTTAGCATTTATTACCTTACTGCTAAAGGTTGTTTTTGTATTTCCCTAAATACTCTTTTTGTCTTTCATAAATATAGAGCGTGAAGCTGAGATCTTGAAGCCTCTTGCTAGTGTGGAGGTGGTTGAGAAAGAGGAGGCCAGCTTTGATACTGAAATTTCAGAAGATGATGTGCCTGGAGAATGGAAACTTAGAGGGCAGGTTCTGACAAGATCACCGGTAAGATTGTATATAGTTGAAAAAATGCATTATTTTATATAGGCTATTTTACATAATTTTTATTTTATTTTTTTTAATTCCCAGACGTGTGATATCAGAGCTGAAGGAAATAAGAGATTCCTTACATTGAAAAATGTTCAACTTGACCAGGCTGGAGAAGTCTCTTACCAAGCTTTGAATGCTATCACTACTGCAATGTTAACGGTCAAAGGTATGTCGTTGATGAGCAAAAAATGCATGCTGAAACAAGAAATGCAGTATTTATAAGCTAAATAGGGGGAAAAATAACTTGTGATAACTTGTGTTATTCACACCCATAGAGATTGAAATGGACTTCACAGTCCCATTGAAGGATGTTACTGTGCATGAAAAGAAACAGGCAAAGTTTGAATGCACGATCACAAAAGATGTGCCTAAAGTCATGTGGTTGAGAGGATCTGATATTATAACACCAGACCAAAAATATGATATCATTGATGATGGAAAGAAACACATGTTGGTCATAAACCAGTGTGAATTTGAGGATGAGGGAGAATATACTATTGAGGTGTTGGGTAAAACATCAACAGCCAAACTGACAGTTGAGGGTAAGTTTTCAAGCTATGTTTCAGTCATCATGGGGTCCTTTGAAAAATGTGTTTTGTTCACAAAATCACCAAGCTAAATTGGTTTTGCAATGGACTAACACATTATAGGTATGCGGCTGAAATTCATCTCACCGATATCGGATCAAACTGTTAAGGAAGGTAAAACAGCTCGGTTTGAGCTTGAACTGTCCCATGACAATGTACCAGTGACGTGGTACAAAAATGAAACAAAACTGCATCCGAGCAGAACTGTACTTACGCATGTTGATGGAAAGAAACATATATTAGAAATCAAGAACGTCACTCTAGATGATACTTGCCAAATAAAAGCAGAGGCTAAAGGATTATCAACAACAGCAAACCTGACGGTGCTAGGTAACTTATTATTATTATTATTATTATTATTATTATTTTGATGATAATGATGGTGGTAGTGGTCGTGGTGGTGGTAAGATAAGTGGTCCTGAAATCTGTACTCTAGTGAACATCAGTTTGTTGGTATACAAGCTGTTTTATCTCACAAACTGTACATTATAGGTTCGCTAAACTTAATTTGTTTTACATTTTAATATAGAGGGAGATGCCTACTTCACAGTTAAACTGCAAGATTACACTGCAGTTGAGAAAGACGAGGTCAATCTTGACTGCGAGCTCAGCAAAGATGTTCCTGTGAAGTGGTTCCACAATGAGACTGAAATTAAAGCCTCCAAGATGGTTGCCATGAAAGCTGATGGCAAACGAAGAATCCTGAGCATCAAGAAAGTTGAGGAAAAAGAAAAAGGATTATATGTTTGTGACTGTGGAACAGACAAGACTTCGGCCACGATGAACATTGAAGGTCAGTGATCAAGGTTATGCCCATGGAATGTAAATGGAGATTTTTTTTCCCCAGAGTGCCCTACACACCTGCACGCAATCTTTCAGCAGTTACAGGTTTAAATAATTAATTCAGGGTTTAATTAATTTCAGCTCGTGACATCAAAGTGGTGCGACCAATGTATGGTGTTGAGCTGTTCGATGGTGAGACAGCTCGTTTTGAGGTGGAAATTTCTGAAGATGATGTCCATGGCCAGTGGAAGCTGCAAGGAGAAATCCTCTCCCCATCACCTGTAAGACTACTAAAACTATTTGAAATGGTTACAAATGTAACTTTTGTATGAATGGCATAACTGTATTTTTGTCTCTGTGGCAACAGGATGTTGAAATCATTGAGGATGGCGCAAAGCACATCTTAACTTTGTACAACTGTAAAGTGTCCCAGTCTGGAGAGGTTTCATTCCAGGGTGCCAATGCAAAATGCTCTGCCAATCTAAAAGTGAAAGGTATTTTGTGACTAAATTTTACTTTAAATCCACTGTTTGATTCTAGAGATTCTTAAAACTTTTTTGGCGACTGACCACTTCCTCATCTGAATAAAAGTGTGGAATAACTGACTCCTCACTTGTGGGGGAAACTAGCTTAAAGCAATTAGACTCTATATATATATTGAGTATTTTATGTTATTTGAGTTGGTGGATTGTTTGTGTATTATTTAAAAGGGATGTTCTTTATGTATTTTTGCAGAGCTTCCCATTACTTTTGTAACACCTCTGGCTGATGTGCATGTATATGAGAAAGATGATGCAAGGTTTGAGTGTGAGATCTCAAGACAACCAAAGAGCTTCCGTTGGTTGAAAGGATCTCAGGAGATTACAACTGATGATAAATTTGAGGTACTTCAGGAGGGCAAAAGACACATTCTGGTGGTCAGATCTGCTGCCTATGAGGATGAAGCTAAGTATATGTTTGAGGCTGAGGACAAGAGAACATCTGCCAAACTTATTATCCAGGGTAAGGGGGAGAAAATAAATGCATTATTTAAAAAATATGTTTGTTTCGTAAACGTTTAAATACAACTGCTGCCAGATTGAATCATGTGCTTGCATTTTTCCCCAGGCATCCGTCTTGAGTTTGTCAGACCCATTAAAGATGTCACTGTTAAAGAGCGTGAGACTGCAGAATTCAGCATCGAACTCTCTCATGAAAAGGTTCAAGTAACCTGGTACAAGAATGACGTGCGTTTGCATCCAAGTAAAGTGGTACACATGTCAGAGGATGGCAAAACCCATACTCTGTCCTTCAAAGAGGTGTCTATTGATGACACTTCTCTAATTAAAGCTGAGGCCCTTGGGAAAACCTGTGAGGCAATGCTCACTGTACTTGGTAGGTGTTTAAATATTTTGTAGACACACTTAAAGGATCATACAGATAAATATTGAATACTGAATTGTACTGATAATTATTGAATTAAACTTAAATCCCTCTTGTTTATCAACAGAGGGAGAACCTTACTTTACTACCAAGTTGCAGGACTACACTGCAGTTGAGAAGGATGAGGTTGTCCTGATGTGTGAAGTGAGCAAATCATCTGCTCAGGTGAAATGGTTCAAAGACGGCAAGGAGATCACTCCCTCTAAGAACGTCCTCATCAAGGCTGATGGAAAGAAACTTATCTTGACAGTGAAGAAGGCAGAGAAGGCCAATATTGGTGAATATGTGTGTGACTGCGGCTCTGACAAAACAGCAGCCAAGCTTAACATTGAAGGTATGTATTTTTTATGTATTTTATGTTTGTTTTATTAATCCATATATCGATTCATAAATTATAATTGAGAAAATTACTATGAACTCGTATAACTTTGCCTTTCCTCTCCTGTTCTTTGCAGAGCGCGATATTAAGATTGTCCGTCCACTGTACAGCGTGGAGGTCACAGAGACAGAGACTGCTCGCTTTGAGACAGAAATCACTGAGGAGGATGTTCATGGTAACTGGAAACTCAAAGGAGATGCCCTGCACCAGTCACCGGTAATTTATGTTGCTCCTAAATATAACTTACAGATGCTTTTTGAACATTTTAATGTTTATCAAATGTAAAATAAGATAAAAAAATTCTGAAATTCTGAATTGTATTAAATGAATAGTTCACATAATAAATGCTAATTCTGTCACCATGACATAAAAACTGAAATTTTGGAAAAAAAAAATATATATATATATGTATATACACACACACACACACACACACACACACACATATATATCATTGAAGTAGTAAGTAGTAATTGTGCGCTATGTGTGACAAAAAGCTTGAAATTTACACTAAAAAATAGAGTCATTTGTGGCTTAGAACGGTTACATTTGGGGTGAACTGTTCCTTTAAGAGCTTACTATTGTGCTAAATTGTGCAATTTTTTTCAGAATTACTGTGAATAGTTCTCTGTGCTGACATGTTCTCATATTTTCATATCACATTTTTCATTTCATTTATTAGGACTGTGAAATTAAGGAGGAAGGCACGAAGCACATGCTTATCCTTTACAATGTTCGCATGGATATGGCTGGGGGGGTGGACTTCAGTGCTGCTAATGCTAAATCAAGTGCTCAGCTCAGAGTTAAAGGTGAGAATGATGAATAGGATGCCTTCTTGCATATTTTGGACAAACCAGAGAAATGATATCTCTGTGGACATACTAGAAACAATTAGTATTGTGTAACAAAGACAGCTGATATGTGTTGCTTTGAAACAAAGTGTGTGAACTAAAGGCAGTTAAATTAGTCACTGCAGTTTATGATTAGCTCATAAATTATTCTGACAGATGCCATGTAGTGATAACAGGGTGTGAAAAGTATTTATTATGGCAGGGATTAATGTGTTTGAGACAGGTTTGGCAGCCAATCAGTTATTTTTTTTTATATTCTTGCTTTAGAAACAAGCAGAGACACTATTATGACATGCAACCCTCAAACACGATGTGGGATTTTTTATTTATTTATTTATAAATTAAGTAACACTTAAGTAACATTCTCCTTTTCCTGGAGAAGTCCAGCAGGTTGATTGACAGTAACAGATTTCCTAGCAGGATGTCATAACAGGGGTGGGCTAGTGGCCAATCAGATGTTGCGGTTATTTTAGAAGCTGCATTCCATATGTAGAGAGGCTCTGTCAGTGATTGGCAGAGGCTTAACAGACCTACCTCCAAATGTTTTTTCTGACCATATACATCTTAAGGAAACGCAATATGCAAATGAAGTAGGCCCCCAACACAAGTCCCTGTCTTGCTGGATTCCACTTGTCCTGGAGGCTTACGAGCTCCAGAGCAGTGGCCTGTTGTCAGTGGGAAAGCGCTATGAGAATTTGTAGTTAAAGGATTGCCAGTGTCTCTTGGGTCTTGGAGGTGACTAACAATGTCTTCTCCTGAATCCAAAGCACGAGTGATAGGCCTCTTGAGGTCTCTCAAGGATGTAACAGTGACAGCGGGAGAGACAGCAACCTTTGACTGTGAACTGTCTTATGAGGGCATACCTGTGGAATGGTTCCTAGGGGGTACAAAGCTGGAACCAAGTGACAGAGTAAGTGTGCATGTTGTCCTGTGTAAATTTAAAATGTCATTTGTGGTTTCTGGGAAATTTATAAAGAATTAACTGTTGGTGTCACTATTTTGTATACACTAATTGAATCATTAATGAATTTAGATGATCACTAAACTGTTGTAAAATGTGGTAAACTGTTTTTTAACATCTAGGATTACACGTTTGGAATATTTAACAACTGCTAAACAACTATTTAGCTTTTTCTACATATTGCATGTGAAATTTACACTAAAAAATAGAGTCATTTGTGGCTTAGAACGGTTACATTTGGGGTGAACTGTTCCTTTAAGAGCTTACTATTGTGCTAAATTGTGCAATTTTTTTCAGAATTACTGTGAATAGTTCTCTGTGCTGACATGTTCTCATATTTTCATATCACATTTTTCATTTCATTTATTAGGACTGTGAAATTAAGGAGGAAGGCACGAAGCACATGCTTATCCTTTACAATGTTCGCATGGATATGGCTGGTGGTGTGGACTTCAGTGCTGCTAATGCTAAATCAAGTGCTCAGCTTAGAGTTAAAGGTGAGAATGATGAATAGGATGCCTTCTTGCATATTTTGGACAAGCCAGAGAAATGATATCTCTGTGGACATACTAGAAACAATTAGTATTGTGTAACAAAGACAGCTGATATGTGTTGCTTTGAAACAAAGTGTGTGAACTAAAGGCAGTTAAATTAGTCACTGCAGTTTATGATTAGCTCATAAATTATTCTGACAGATGCCATGTAGTGATAACAGGGTGTGAAAAGTATTTATTATGGCAGGGATTAATGTGTTTGAGACAGGTTTGGCAGCCAATCAGTTATTTTTTTTTATATTCTTGCTTTAGAAACAAGCAGAGACACTATTATGACATGCAACCCTCAACCACGATGTGGGATTTTTTATTTATTTATTTATAAATTAAGTAACACTTAAGTAACATTCTCCTTTTCCTGGAGAAGTCCAGCAGGTTGATTGACAGTAACAGATTTCCTAGCAGGATGTCATAACAGGGGTGGGCTAGTGGCCAATCAGATGTTGCGGTTATTTTAGAAGCTGCATTCCATATGTAGAGAGGCTCTGTCAGTGATTGGCAGAGGCTTAACAGACCTACCTCCAAATGTTTTTTCTGACCATATACATCTTAAGGAAACGCAATATGCAAATGAAGTAGGCCCCCAACACAATTCCCTGTCTTGCTGGATTCCACTTGTCCTGGAGGCTTACGAGCTCCAGAGCAGTGGCCTGTTGTCAGTGGGAAAGCGCTATGAGAATTTGTAGTTAAAGGATTGCCAGTGTCTCTTGGGTCTTGGAGGTGACTAACAATGTCTTCTCCTGAATCCAAAGCACGAGTGATAGGCCTCTTGAGGTCTCTCAAGGATGTAACAGTGACAGCGGGAGAGACAGCAACCTTTGACTGTGAACTGTCTTATGAGGGCATACCTGTGGAATGGTTCCTAGGGGGTACAAAGCTGGAACCAAGTGACAGAGTAAGTGTGCATGTTGTCCTGTGTAAATTTAAAATGTCATTTGTGGTTTCTGGGAAATTTATAAAGAATTAACTGTTGGTGTCACTATTTTGTATACACTAATTGAATCATTAATGAATTTAGATGATCACTAAACTGTTGTAAAATGTGGTAAACTGTTTTTTAACATCTAGGATTACACGTTTGGAATATTTAACAACTGCTAAACAACTATTTAGCTTTTTCTACATATTGCATGCTAGTTCTTTACATCTGTCAGTTAAATGCTTTCCTCATATAAGGACCTGGGGATCAGGATACCAGTTGAGCATTTGATCTGGGTTTTAAGATAACACACAGGGCTATTCTGCTCTGCAAGCGTTCCTCTGGTTATTTTTAACTGCTTCAAGACTCTATGTGCAATGGCAGGTGGCAAGAGGCCTTTTTTACAGACATAGCTTGTATTTACACGTAGATATGTATGTATGTATTTATTTATTTATGCATTTTGTTAGAAGCATTTAAATGTGTTTGTCATATCATTTGCAGTGTGTGCGAGTTAGGCCTTCAGTCATGGCTTTGGATTTTATGTATTTTACATGATACTTTTATTAAACTGTGTGCCGTGTAGCAAATGGGTTTAGTAAAAGGTCACACATTTTGGTGACAACAGATGTTCAAGTTCTGTTTGTATTCCTGATATGTTTGTGTGAGGACTTGATTCTTCGAACAGAGATTACAAACAAGTTGAAAAAAGCACTAATGAACCATAATTCTAACAGTTTTGATTATTTTTGGACAGATTTTAAATTTTTTTTGCTAGCTTCTGCATTATATTCAGCAACGTGTTCAATGTTGTGTTTACAGATATACATAGATTTAATTTTATTGATTATTATTATTATTATATAAAGACATTATAATGTTGTTTAACAACATGACATTTCTCATTCATAAGTGAATTTTTTTGGAAATGGAACTGAAAAATTAAAACAAAAAAAAATAATGTTATGTTAATGTGTAATTTTTTCAGCCTGTTTTATTTTTATTTTTTATTTTGATTGATGATTTAAGGAAGATATTAATTGTAAGCAAATCATATACAACTGTTTTCAATCTGTTCATATAGCTTTATTTGTTACGCAAGTTACACAAGCCAAATGAGTCTAAACTGGCTTCCAGGGCACTAGTTGGGACACAAGAAGCAGAGGTGTGAAAATTAGAACAGTTCCTAGTGCTCAGCTGTTGATGTCTATTGCAGAGGGGCAGTAAATAGCCTCCCCCACCCTTGACATGGAAAGTGTGCTTGATTTATCAATTGGTTTGAATTGCACAGGTGGTGCACCGTTCAGAAGGCAGAACTCACACGCTGACCCTTAGGGATGTGAAACTGACAGAGGCAGGAGAAGTAAAACTCACTGCAAAGGACTTCGTGACACAGGCTCAACTCATTGTAAATGGTGGGTGCCATTTGTTCACAAATGCAGATTTAATTTAGTTGCTAACAAGCATCCCTCATAAAATTAATCAGCCTAAAACATGCTCACGTTGAGGTGAGAATATCAACCATTCTAGTGTTGTAATTGTATTGGTGCTGGTAATTATTAGTGCTCTTATTGGAGCTCAGGTGATTGTCAAAAACATTTGAAATGTCTGTACTAAGAAATTTATATTTACTGAAAAACATTATATCATTAGTCTGTCTTCAAATATCATCATAGGAAATGATAATATTGTTAAAAAGTGAATTGCAATAAAACAAATACATTTGTTACACAGAACCTCCAGTTGAATTCACCAAACCTCTGGAGGACCAGACTGTAGAAGAGGAAGCCACCGCTGAACTAGAGTGTGAAGTCTCCAAAGAGAAAGCAGAGGTCAAGTGGTTTAGAGATGGACAAGAAATTCGCAAAACCAAGAAATATGACATGGTTGCTGATGGCCGTAAAAGAAAACTTCTTATTCATGACTGCACACTTGATGACTCAAGGACATATACCTGTGATGCTAAACAATTCAAGACTTCAGCCTTCTTAAATGTTGAACGTAAGTCAACCAGAATGAAAAGGCAAAAGCTAAGAATTTAAATAGTACTTGCAATGAAAAAATAAAAGACTGAATATGATTGCCTTTTGATCTTCAGCTCCACATGTTGAGTTCACAAAGCCACTCCATGATGTTGAGGTCAAAGAGAAGGAATCTGCCAGATTTGAATGCGAAGTGTCTCGTGAAAGCGCTAAGGTTTGTTGTCTACCATTCAGTTCATCTTTTTTTAATTGACATTTCAATTTATATCTATATAATTCATAGGTTAGATGTTAGACATTAGACATGTTGTGTAATTGTCTGACTTTTTGAAAATGATCACTGTGAGTTCATTCATCAATATATTCCATTGTTCCCTTTGAATAGGTTCGCTGGTTCAAAGATGGTAATGAAATCAGAAAAGGCAAGAAATATGAGATCATTTCTGAAGGAGTAAAACGTATTCTCATCATAAGCAAGTCTGTCTTTGATGACGAAGCAGAATATGAATGTGATGCCAGGACTTCCAAAACCTCTGGAATGCTGACTGTCATTGGTAAATTATTCTGTTAATTTTTAGTCTAAACAGGCTTCAACAACTTGCTTTGAACAGTATACTGATTTGCATGACTTTTTCTGACCACAGAGGAGGAGACTAGATTCACAAAGAACTTGGCTAATGTTGAAGGCACTGAAACCGACAGTGTTAAACTGATTTGTGAAGTCTCCAAACCCAGTGCAGAGGTTACATGGTACAAGGGTGACCAAGAGTTGCCTGAAGTTGGTAGATATGAGCATATTGCAGATGGCAAAAAGAGAATCCTAATTATTAAGGGCCTCCGTATGGATGATGCCGGAGAGTACCACTGCAAACTGCCCACCTCACAAACCACAGGGAACCTAAGGATTAATGGTGAGACTGTCTTGTCCTTGAAATTTTACTTCATACCTTGTATTTCATACCTTGTTTATATAAACTTGCTCCATGCTTGTGATTGACCTAATACTGTAACAATTTTTTTTTACTTTAGAACTTGCCGCTGAGTTCATTGCAAGGCCTCAAAACCAGGAGGTGGTTGAAGGTGAAAAGGCAGAATTTGTGTGCTCTGTCTCCAAAGACACATATGAAGTGAAATGGCTCAAAGGAGATAAGGAACTTCAATCAGATGACAAATATGACATAATTTCCGAGGGCAAAAAGAGAGTTCTTGTTGTCAAAAATTGTGAACTCAAGGATGAAGGTGGCTTTGTAGTCCTCATTGGAACCACAAGAGCCTCAGCTGATCTGATTGTGCTTGGTATGTATGTTTTTGTGTATATTCTTGAAAAATTATGATATAAATATGAAAATTTGATGATTTTTCTTTCTTTTTCTTGTTTTACAGAAAAGCTTAGGATTATCACTCCTCTAAGAGACATCAAGGCAAATGAAGGACAAGAGACTGTCCTCAATTGTGAAGTTAACACTGAGGGGGCCAAAGCCAAATGGCTGAAGAATAATGAGACTTTATTTGAAAGTAGCAAGTTCATCATGGTCCAGAAGGACAATGTATTCTCTCTGAGGATCAAAGGCACTCAAAAATCAGATGAGGCCAACTACACCATTACACTGACCAACCAACGTGGTGAACACGCAAAGAGCTCTTCCAACATTACTGTGCAAGGTATGACACGCACTGATATGCTTTATTTTTTACAGCAATTCTTGCAAGAAAATAGTTATATATATATAACCATCTGCCATGTAAGTGAACATGAATTTCCTATTGAATGGACATTTAGTGGACCGTTTGTATTAGTTTAACAGTAAATTTAAAAAAAAAAACTTTTAAAGATTATACAGTGACGCCTACGGAAATGAGTATTATGTTTATGAATGTATGACCACAAATATTTACGTATACATGCTTACAAACATTTGCTTATATTGTAACCAGTTGACCAGACCGAAATTTCTTTCACTATTTCTGTTATACTTTGGAAAAATATTTATGTTTGTACCCATGAAGGAGTGTTGTTTGTTTGTTATTGTGTTAACCCCTTAACTGTCACCCCCCCCAATTCTTGCAAGAAAATAGTTATATATATATAACCATCTGCCATGTAAGTGAACATGAATTTCCTATTGAATGGACATTTAGTGGACCGTTTGTATTAGTTTAACAGTAAATTAAAAAAAAAACTTTTAAAGATTATACAGTGACGCCTACGGAAATGAGTATTATGTTTATGAATGTATGACCACAAATATTTACGTATACATGCTTACAAACATTTGCTTATATTGTAACCAGTTGACCAGACCGAAATTTCTTTCACTATTTCTGTTATACTTTGGAAAAATATTTATGTTTGTACCCATGAAGGAGTGTTGTTTGTTTGTTATTGTGTTAACCCCTTAACTGTCACCCCCCCATTTTTTTAAATAGGCATGAAAGTGCACTATCCAAACTTAAATTGTTGTAATTTATGAACACTTTGGAATACAGACCTAAGGTTGGTCTCTTTTTAAATAAGAAAAGATTGTTGCAAAAGTGGAATTTTTTCAAAAAAATTAAAGAATCAAAAAGTTATAGAAGTTTAAATGTACTGTAAAGAAAATGCACTATACTCATTTTATTTTATTTGATATATAATAAATATTTTACATAACAGGTTTTACTCTAAAATTGGTATAAAATTAAAGCCTTATGTCTAAATAAGTTATGTTCCAAATTTGAAGTTGATATGAAAAAAATTGAGGTTCCCGTGAGATTTTATTTAGGGCGTTATACCACAAACAGACACCGGGTGCCATCCAAACTCCATTTAATTTTTTTTATGCATTTTTCTGTCACACATGTCTAGATTTCTCTGTCAATATGACTTCTATCTCAAAATATACCACCAAATATGGAATCCTGAGACTTAGACCTTTCCAATTATATGTTTTTGTCAAGATTATAAAAAGGTTTGATTCTAAAAGACAGTAATGCATTTTGTAATATTACACTTGACACCGCCCACTAAGGGGGAGGAGACCACCAACAGATTTTAAAGTACCATTTCCATGGTAGCGCAATGTCCGATTTTAAAATGGGCTTCTAAGCTTTCAAATTATATATAATGTATGATGATTACTAAAAGATTTGATAGAGAAAAAGGACAACAACAAAAAAGAGTGCCAAGCGTCCCACAGGTGGGACGGTGTTCACAAAAATAAAGTTAATAATAATAATAATAAAGATTATATAGTCTTTATTATTAAAGCTTTATTATAAAGCTCACATACTTTATATTTAAAAAGCATTAAAACATTTTTATAAAATATATTTAAATATAAAATACATACTTATATATGGTCATATATTTATAATAAATATGACATTAATTTTCCTGCAGGAGAGTTTAAACTACTAACTTGCAACATGTAGGGAAATTTTAACAAAATGGATTTGAGACTTAGACTGTTTCAAAAAACACATGCCTAGTTAACTTATCATAAACCTTAATTTCCACAGAGGAAGATCTTAGAATCATTGTTCCCCCTGAGGATGTTGACACACAGGAGAAAAAGACCATCAGCTTCACATGCAAGGTGAACATACCAAATGTAACAGTACAATGGATGAAGGCAGGTCAAGAAATCACTCTCAGCAAGAGAATTCTCTATCGTGTGGACAAGGACAAGCACACTCTGACCATTAAGGACTGCAGTCTTGCAGACGAGGGTGAATACGGTGTAGTTGCTGGTGCTGATAAGGCCACAGCAGAACTGATCATCAGTGAGGCACCCGCAGACTTCACCGCTCAGCTCAGTGACCAAACTATCATTGAGTTTGAGGATGCTGAGTTCACATGTGAACTTTCCAAAGAGAAGGCTGAAATCAAATGGTACAGAGATGGCAGGGAGATCAGAGAAGGACCCAGGTAAAATACTTTATTCTAAAGGGTTTTTGTCAAGGGTTTTTGTTGGTTTTCAGTATGTTTAATATGCATTTAATGTTTAATTTTAAGATACCAATTTGAGAGAGATGGCAAAACATGTAGACTGCGTATAAAAGAGTGCAGACCAGATGATGAGTGTGAATATGCCTGTGGAGTGGATGACAAGAGAACACGAGCCCGCCTCTTTGTTGAGGGTAAGTTTGTTTCAGTGTCCATTAACTACCTGGAAATATCAGGGAATTTTAGTAAATGTAATCCCCAGGTACAGAAAAGTAATGGAAATTAATAGAAACTTAAATGGTCTTTATGACTTTGTCACCTCTTTAGAGACCCCTGTGGAGATTGTCAGACCACCCACAGATGTGTTTGAGCCCCCAGGCTCAGATGTTGTGTATGAAGTTGAGCTTAACAAAGACAGAGTTGAGATCAAATGGCTGAGGAACAACATGACCGTTGTTCAAGGTGATAAGTACCAGATGATGAGTGAGGGTAAGATTCACAGGCTTCAAGTGTGTGAAATCAGGCCACGTGATCAAGGCGAGTACAGAGTCATTGCCAAGGACAAAGATGCCAGAGCCAAGCTTGAGCTTGCTGGTAAGATTAATTATATATATATATATATATATAATGAAAAAATGAAATGTTTTACAACCAAAACGAAATCAAATTGAATAAGTTTACAATGCCTTGGTATTTATCCACAGCCGTGCCAACAATTAAAACCTTGGATCAAGACCTGGTGACAGACGCTGGAAAGCCATTTGTTATGGCAGTTCCTTACAATGCTTACCCACAGGCTGAGGCTGAGTGGTTCTACAATGACATCAGTCTTCCAAAAGACAATGTTCACACTTCTGTTGACAGGACAGAATATAGGCTAAAGGACCCAAAGAAGTCAGAGGAAGGCCGCTATAAAATCCTCATCCAAAACAAACATGGAAAAGGAGAGGCTTTTATAAACCTAAAAGTTATTGGTTAGTTATATTCATAGTATATCAGTTAGTTTCAGTAAAACATTCTAGGATTATATTGTTGCTTACAAATGTTGCTCCTTTCACAGATGTTCCTGGGCCTGTGAAGAACCTTCAGGTTGTTGACACAGCTGATGGTGAGGTCAGCATTGCATGGGAAGAGCCAGAGAGTGACGGTGGCAGCAAGATCTTGGCTTATGTGGTTGAAAGACGTGATATCAAACGTAAGACCTGGACTCTGGCCACTGACTGTGCCGATAGCACAGAGTACTGTGTAACTGGCTTGCAGAAAGACTCCAAGTACCTCTTCCGTGTCTGTGCACGTAACCGAATCGGAAGTGGGCCCAATGTTGAGACAGATAAAGCTGTTCAAGCTAAGAATAAGTTTGGTAAGTCAAGAAAATCTGAAAGTCAAGTTGTACACACTAACCGGTGATTCTAATTGTGGTTTTTAATTTTACACACTCCAGATGTTCCTGATCCACCCCAGAATGTTATTGTTGGAAATGTCAACAAGTTTGGTGCCACAGTCTCCTGGGAACCACCACTGTTCAATGGTGGATCTGAGATCACATCATACATTATTGAGCTCCGTGATAGAACTTCTGTGAGCTGGTCTCCAGTCATGGTGACCAAACCACACGAACGCTCAGCTATTATTAATGATGTTATTGAGAACAAAGAATACATCTTCCGTGTTAAGGCTGAGAACAAGGCTGGAATTGGCAAACCAAGTGCTGCCACTAACCCAGTGAAGATCATGGACCCTATTGGTTTGTAAAATCCCATATATCATTAATTTTAGCATACATGAATGCATTCATACGTAATAAATGCATCGTAACGTTTTGATCCACAGAGAGGCCGAGCCCTCCACTGAATCTGACACACTCTGAGCAGACAAAGGACTCCTGTCTGTTGACATGGGAGACTCCCTTAAAAAATGGAGGCACAACTATCACTGGCTACATCATTGAGAGATGTGAAGAAGGCACAGACAAGTGGCTCAGATGCAATGCTAGGCTTTGTCAGGACCTGCTCTACAGGGTAATCTTTGCCAAAGACTGTGTATATATATATATATATATATATATATATATATACACCAAAATGGTTCACTCATATTACAATGAATGGGAGTAAGTGCAATGCACAGTATGGTGGAATAAGCCTTGCTTTCTAAATAAAAGAGTAGTCATCGTGACCCTCCAGCTGCTATTAGAATCTCCAGTTCCCATAGAGATGTGCACTTAGGAATGCACTTGCATTTTCAGCCTGAAATATAGGCTATTTAAGCATACATTTCAATGTGAGTTTGGCAAGCAGTTTTTAAGATTGTTATTTTCCAATTCAAGTAAATAGGAGTTGGTCTTTTATGCCTAGCTGCCCAGAAGCATTGTGAATATGGTTGCCGAGTGAACTGACTTTTCTTTGCTTCTTGTTATAGTGTGCATTAGTATTGTTATGTAATGCTTATGTTGGCATGCATTCCACAGATTTCAGGCCTGAAATTTGGAACAAAATACAGCTATAGAGTACTTGCTGAGAATGCGGCCGGCCAGTCTGACCCCTCAAATATTGTTGGGCCTGTGTTGGCAGATGATCCCCACTGTAAGTGATTTTCGTACCATTGCACCCTACATAATCTTTGATATATCTGAATCTTTGGAAATTGTTTAACACATGATGTGCTTCTCTTGTCACAGTTGCACCTACTCTGGACCTGAGCGCATTTAAGGATGGTCTAGAGGTTATTGTCCCTAATCCTCTTGCAATCCGTGTCCCTATCACTGGGTACCCAGTGCCCACAGCAAAGTGGACCTTCGGTGAAAATGCACTTACTGCTGGTGACCGTGTGTCCATGGTTACAAAGTCAACCTTCACAGAGCTCATTGTAACCCCAAGTGTGCGCCCTGACAAAGGCACATACTCCTTGACGTTGGAAAATGATGTGACTAGTGTCTCAGGAGAGATTGAAGTTAATGTCATTGGTATGCACAGAATTTTCTTATAGACATGTATACATCAATTTACAGGTCAGAAAGTAAAAAGTGTTATACTTTATTTTACTCTCCATTCAAGCCTCTCCAAGTGCACCCAAAGACTTAAAGGTTGCAGAAGTGACTAGAAAGCATGTTCACTTGATGTGGGAGGCACCTGATCACGATGGAGGCAGTCCGATCACAGGCTTTCAGGTTGAGAAGCGTGAGGTTTCCAGGAAGACCTGGGTGAAGGTATAAACATTACTAATATCTTTGACCATTATTTTCTTTGAATGGTACTGTGAACCTACAGTGATAACTTTCCTTGCGTTTATGTGATTTTAGGTGATGGCAGGTTTGCAAGACCAGGAATGCACAGTCACAGATGTTGTTGAGGGCAAGGAGTACTTGTTCAGAGTTATTGCCTGCAACAAATGTGGCCCTGGAGAGCCCGCCTACATTGATGACCCAGTGAACGTGTCTTCACCTGCAAGTGCGTGTTAATACTAATGATAGATTAGTCAGTGTTAAATATTTGCAATATCAAATAATTCATAATTTCTTTTGTGTGTGCATCTGTGTTATTTACAGCTATACCAGACCCACCAGAAAATCTTAAATGGAGAGACAAGTCTGCTAGCAAGATCTTCTTGTCATGGGAGCCTCCCAAATGGGATGGTGGAACTGCAATTAAAGGTTATATTGTTGACAAATGTCAACGTGGTACTGACAAGTGGGAACCATGTGGAGACCCAGTTCCTGATCTTAAGTAAGTGATCATTTTCAAATGAATTACTCTTCAAACTGAATTAAGTTGCTTACATGCATAAGTTAAACTAAATTAATTTTACAAACAGGTTTGAAGTGACTGTGCAATATCAAATAATTCATAATTTCTCTTGTGTGTGCATCTGTGTTATTTACAGCTATACCAGACCCACCAGAAAATCTTAAATGGAGAGACAAGTCTGCTAGCAAGATCTTTTTGTCATGGGAGCCTCCCAAATGGGATGGTGGAACTGCAATTAAAGGTTATATTGTTGACAAATGTCAACGTGGTACTGACAAGTGGGAACCATGTGGAGACCCAGTTCCTGATCTTAAGTAAGTGATCATTTTCAAATGAATTACTCTTCAAACTGAATTAAGTTGCTTACATGCATAAGTTAAACTAAATTAATTTTACAAACAGGTTTGAAGTGACTGGTCTCATTGAAGGACAGTGGTATGCTTATCGTGTGAGGGCTTTGAACAAACTGGGTGCCGGTAAGCCTTGCAAGGCGACAGATGAGATTTTGGCCGTTGATCCTAAAGGTACTTTATTAGATTATGATTTGACATTCAGAGACATTAGGAGTTGAAGTTGAATGTTTATTTGATTTACTTGCCACTTTCACAGAGCCTCCAGAGATTCAGCTGGATGCAAAACTGCTGGCTGGCCTCACTGCTAAGGCTGGCACAAAGATTGAACTTCCTGCTGACATCACAGGCAAACCAGAGCCTAAAGTCAAATGGACCAAGGCTGACCTAGTCCTGAAGCCAGACGACAGAATATCAATTGATACCAAGCCTGGCCACTCAACTGTGTCCATTGCTAAGACCAAGAGGGATGACACTGCTACATACATCATTGAGGCAGTCAACAGCAGTGGCCGTGCAACTGCAACAGTTGATGTCAACATTCTAGGTAGTGTGAAAGACTTTTTTTTTTAAGTTGATACACCCTACAAAAGCATAGGGGTCTTATGTTGCAGTAAAAATATCTAAACAAACCTAAACAAGAAAACCAATAGTGTTTAAAATAGAAATGCTTGTTTTCAGAGAATATATTTTGTATTACAAGATATTACAATATACTGTATCTTGAATTGCTTATTTCTTGCATTTTGTTTAAATCTCTATATTTGTTTTTATATTAAATACTATATATATTTATCCACTTGTTTAATGAAAATAAGAAAAAAAATTACATTTAGGATTGACATTTAGGCATTTAGACTTTTTTTCTTATGCAGTTGGTATTCAGATGATACTAATTTTTAATCTTTACTAACTCCATATAGATAAACCTGGTCCTCCAGCTGCCTTTGACATCTCTGAAATCACCAATGAGTCCTGCTTGTTAGCCTGGAATCCTCCAAGAGATGATGGTGGCTCAAAGGTGACAAACTATATTATTGAGAGGAGGGCTTTAGACAGTGAAATCTGGTACAAGTTGTCCTCCACTGTGAAGCAGACCACCTACAGGGCCACCAAACTTGTGGCTTTCAAGGAATATGTCTTTAGGGTATATGCTGAAAATCAGTTTGGAGTTGGTGCCCCAGCAGAACATGCCCCAATAACTGCCAGATACCCCTTTGGTATGTTATTTAATACTGTTTCATCAATTCAAACACATTTTTGGCTAACATTTCACCTGCATTAGAAATCATTATATATATGTTAACACTATCATAGATACTCCTGGTCCTCCATACAAATTGGAGGCATCTGATATTGCAAAGGATGCAGTAACTCTGTCTTGGTATGAGCCTGATGAGGATGGTGGAAGTCCTATTACTGGATATTGGGTTGAGAGATATGAGCCTGATCACGACAAATGGATCAGATGCAACAAGCTGCCCGTCAGGGACACAAACTTTAGGTATGTAAGGATGGAAATTAGCTCTAGTGTGCCATTGTCGTTAGGTCATTTTAATTTTTTTTAAACATGTCTAAAATACAAATTTGCTTACAGGGTAAAAGGACTGCCCACAAGAAAGAAGTATAAGTTCCGTGTTTTGGCAGAGAATCTTGCTGGACCTGGCAAACCAAGCAAAGAGACAGACCAGATTTTGATTAAAGATCCAATAGGTAGGATTAATGTTTTATAAATATCCTGATTTGCCCATTTCACCTACAAAATGGCTAATTTATATTTTATTTGGAGAGAGCATGCTGTATGAAACGTATGTGATTTTTTTTTTCAGATCCCCCATGGGCTCCTGGTAAGCCCACTGTTAAGGATGTGGCCAAAACAACTGCCTTCCTACAATGGACAAAACCTGAACATGACGGTGGTGCAAAGATTGAGTCTTACATCATTGAACTCCTCAAGAGTGGAACTGACGAGTGGGTTCGTGTAGCTGATGGTATCCCCTCTCTTGAGTACTTCTTGAAAGGATTGATGGAGAAGCAAGAGTACTCATTCCGTGTCAGAGCTGTCAATGCAGCAGGCGAGAGTGAACCTAGTGAACCAAGTGATCCAGTGCTCTGCAAGGAGAGACTCAGTAAGTCACACTATTTAAAAAATAGAACTCTGTCATCATTTATTCATCCTCATGTTGTTCCAAACCTATATGACTTTCCTTTTTCAGTATGACACAACAGAAGAAATTCTGAATAATGTAGTTGGTCGCTTTTTTCCATGCAGTTACAATAAACAGGGAGCTTTCAAGGTTAAAAATGACATGAAAGTATGTATCCTGATTAGTCCATGCAGTGCGTTCACTAGTCTTCTGAATTCAGACATGCAGTAGTTTTGTGTGAACAGGCTAAAATTTAAGTTGGATTTTCAGTAAATAACTTAAATTTCTGTCTGTTCTTTGTTATTGTTATTGTGAAACTTGACAGCCGAAATTTATACAGGTTTGGAAAAAAATTGAAGGTGAGAAAATGGTGACAGAATTGTAATTTTAGAGTTAACCATTGCTGTAACATTTAAATGTTCAAGTGCATACAGTAATTCTGTACACAGCATTTCCTAATGATGGTCCTCCTCCTTTAGATCCTCCATCACCCCCAAGATGGCTTGAAGTAATTTCTAGTAGCAGGAACAGCGCTGATTTGAAATGGACAGCACCTGAGAGAGATGGTGGCTCTCCAATCACAAACTACATTATTGAGAAGAGAGATGTCAGACGCAAGGGCTGGCAGGCTGTGGACACCACTGTGAAAGAGCTGAAGTACACTGCCACCCCACTGAATGAGGGGTCTCTCTATGTTTTCCGTGTTGCTGCAGAGAATGCTGTGGGACCCAGTGAATTTTGTGAACTTGTAGACTCTGTTCTCGCCAAAGATACTTTCAGTGCGTTCTTATTCCTTCTTATTGCTTGTTTCTTCCTTTTGGTTGTTTTATATTTAGTGTTAAATTTGTCTCTCACCTGCTTTTCTTCTTCACAGGTACCCCTGGACCTCCATATAATCTGACCATTACTGATGTCTCCAAGACTCATGTTGACCTGAAATGGGAAGCACCTAAGAATGATGGTGGAAGACCTGTCTTGAGGTACTTGCATATGGCCTTTGTAGCAGTTGGTCAAATGTGGACCCAGGCTTTACTTAAGTATTAATAATATATTATACTATTATAGTATTTATTCATTTTTATTTAGCTTTTGTTTTTATATTTCTTGTATACTGTATAGCTTAATTTTGAGTTTTAGTAATTTTATTATTTTGTAAGTTTAGTCATTTTTATGTGCTGTTAATTTGTTTATTTTAGTTTTAGTTGTAGTAATTTTAGTATTACAAACTTATTTAATTACATTTAGTTGCCAAGACAACATTTCTAATTTTCATGTAAGTTTTGTAACTTTTCATCTAATTTTTATATTTGTATTTTATTTTTTAGCATTAAGTTCATCCAGGATGGAGATAGAATTGTTGCTTAATTCCAAATAAATAGATTACGATCCACAAATAAATGTAAAGAGATTAACAAAAATTAAACATACTGACAAATAAATAGAATGAGATCCACAAATAAAACTTAAAGTTTAACAAATTCACAAATAAATAAAATGAGATTTGCAAATAAAAAAACATATTCACAATTATTATATATGTCACAATCACAACTTTGCCTGGCATTCATTTGTGAATCACGTCCTGTGCATTTGTGAATTGTGAAACAATTTCTTGCGTCAAGACGTGCTGACAATCCACAAATACGTGGACTCCACTCACCGTCTACTCAAGCCAATCAGATAACAGCTACATTTTGCTGACCAATCGTAGCACGCTCTCGCTATAGCCAATCATGTTTTGCTTTATAATCAGGGTGGTCTCCTCCTGAAATAACTTCATTCATCTGCATTGGCTCAAATAGGTAATATAAGGGCCATAAAAATGGGTACAGTAAAAGATGTTTAAAATTGGATTTCATTAGACCATAAGACTGTGTGTATCATGCCAAGCCACAGAATTATATTTTACATGCCTTTGAAAATGCCAGAGAAACAGAGCTTTTAAACAATGCTATACTGATACAAACGCATTATGGAAGTGTCATGTTACTCAAGGTGGAAAGAAAAGCGTCAATAAGTAACTGACTAATAAATAACTGGACTCAACATCATAATAAACATCTGTTTGTGTAATAAGTTAAATTGCTGTCAAACAACAGTGTTTCTCAGTTTTTCAGTCAAGCCGATGTATATGAGCAGCTGTGAATCTAACGATGTATGAAGTTTTTGATATACTTCATATTCTATGTGGTGGTCAGTTCACAGCAGTGATAGAAATTAATCTACCAATAAGTCTAAATAGTTTTTTTTTTGTACCTTTTATGAGCATTTTTACATTTGTAAAACCATTTTTTCTTAAAGTGTGCATGATCTTTTTTATATCCTGTAGTTATAAATGCATAGATAATGTTTTGATATTTTAAACACAAAACATTGAATACTGACATTTGAAATTATAAAAAAATGAAAAGATACTTTAAATGTAAAATTTAAACCACCAGTAGGTGGCAGCAAGTCACTGCAATTGAACCAAATTTAAATGGTTGATACATTCAGGAACGAAACACCGTCATGTTGCTCAGAGACGCAGAACAGTGCTGTGGCTTTGGTTGGAATTAAATTTGTTGTTGAAATAGAGCAAAAACAGGCAATATGGCGTCTAAAACTTAAGTCTCTTAATTAACTTTTTGTTTATTGAACTGTTGCATAAAATTAATATCACATTTGAAATCATTGATTTTTGGAGAAAAGAAACGGCATTGATATATAAATGATATTTATATAAACTATATTAAATTATATAAATTTATACGTTTTCTTCTCCCATATCTTGAATTTTGATCATCATTCGACATGTATTTTAATAAACTGAATCATACAGTGAAAGAACGCACTGTAAATGCGCACACGCACTAGTCTAACCTACTAAACTTCATCGCGCGCTGTTTCTCTGGAATTTTCAAAGGCATGTAAAATATAATTCTGTGGCTTGGCATGATACACAGTCTAATGGTCTAATGAAATCCAATTTTAAACATCTTTTACTGTACCCATTTTTATGGCCATTATATTACCTATTTGAGCCAATGCAGATGAATGAAGTTATTTCAGGAGGAGACCGCCCTAATTGTAAAGCAAAACGTGATTGGCTATAGCGAGAGTGTGCTACGGTTGGTCAGCAAAATGTAGCTCAATTCACAAATGCACAGGACACGATTCACAAATGCGTGCAGCGATCTACAAATGCACAGGACACGATTCACAAATGAATGCCAGGCAAAGTTGTGGTTGTGTCATAAATATATATTTGTGAATGTTTTTTTTATTTTCAAATCTCATTTTATTTATTTGTGAATTGAATTCATGTTTGTGAAACTTTAAGTTTTATTTGTGGATCTCATTCTATTTATTTGTCAATATGTTTAATTTTTGTTAATCACTTTACATTTATTTGTGGATCGTAATATATTTATTTGGAATTAAGCAACAATTCTATCTCCATACTCCAGTGTATCATTAATTGGATAATATCTCTTTCCTAGATATGTCATTGAGAAGAAGGAGAAACTTGGTACCCGCTGGGTGAAATCAGGAAAGACTTCAGGTCCTGACTGCCATTACAAAGTGACTGATGTAATTGAGGGCACTGAAGTGCAGTTCCAAGTCGCTGCTGAGAACGAGGCTGGAATTGGTCACCCAAGCGAACCCACGGATATTGTGATCATTGAGGACCCAACAGGTATGTTAACAAAAATCTATCTATCTGTCTATCTATCTATCTATCTATCTATCTGTCTGTCTGTCTGTCTGTCTGTCTGTCTGTCTGTCGATTGATTGTTTGATTGATTGATTTATTTGGTTTCATTTACTATTTTAAACTTTCATGTTTTGTTTGAGGTCTAGGAGACCCAATTTCATTTTTGATTAAACATAATGTAACATTGTAGATTTTATTAGGATTTAGCTTTATGACCTTTTTTTAATCTTATGAAAACAGCGTTGAAAGCATTTTAACAACTTAAAAACATGCTTCAAATATACTCAAATATGAAATTGAATATTACTGCACAAGTGCATATCTACTTTGTGATTCAACAGAAAGATACATCTTCAATAATTTCGCCCAGTTGGTTTTGATTAGGTCCAAGGAACCTATTAAGATAAATTGAAAATAACAAACAAAATTTCTGACTATTATAATTACGTTTCTAGGACCTCCAACATTAAGGGGAAAAAAATAGAACATAAGTGTTAAATATCTGATTTAGGGATTTAAGATGTAATTCATAATGAATCATAAATGGAACCATTCCTTATCTTGACAGGCCCGCCATCACCACCTCAGGAACTGCACGTCACTGAGGCAGCCAGAGATCATATTTGTATTGCTTGGAAGGCACCAGAAAAGAATGGAGGAAGTCCCATTATTGGCTACCATATTGAGCTCTGTGAGACTGGAACTGAGAAGTGGATGAGAGTCAACTCTCGTCCTGTCAAAGAGCTAAAATTCAGGGCAGGGGATGAAGAAGGCATTGTTCCTGAGAAGCAGTATACCTTCAGAGTCCGTGCTGTCAATTCTGTTGGTGACAGTGAGCCCTCTGACATTTCTGAGAATGTATATGCCAAAGATTCTGACTGTAAGCTATTTTGTTGTTGTTGTTTTTGTAAAATTATAAATACATTCATTGCCATTATAATTTAAGGTTGATTGCCCTGTGACTCGTATCATTGCAGGCAGCCCAACCCTTGACTTCCAGACCAAGGATCTTGTTGTTGTAGAGGGTGAAAAGATGCACCTCCCAATTCCATTTAGAGCTGTGCCATCACCTAAAATTACATGGCACAAAGATGGAAATGAACTAAAGACTGATGACAGAACTTTCTTCAGAGTTGAATACACATCATGCCATCTGGAAATTCCAAGCTGCTTACACGCTGATGCTGGCCAGTACAAAGTTACCTTGGAGAACAGCAATGGTTCAGCTAGTGGAACAATCAATGTTAAAGTTATCGGTATGTTTTTGAGTTCTGTTATCGACTGCTTGGAATATATCAGCTTTTAACAACTGATGAAAACATAATAATGAAAATGCAACTTTACATTTGAAACTAATGCCTTTACTTTGGTTTTACTGTGCTTGTTACAAATGATAGGTCTTCCTGGGCCATGTAAAGAAATTGTTGCTAGTGAGATTACCAAGAGCACCTGCAAGGTGTCCTGGGATCCTCCAGACTATGATGGTGGTAGCCCTATTCTCCACTATGTGCTACAACGCAGAGAAGCAGGCAGGAGAACCTATGTCAATGTTATGTCTGGAGAAAACAAAGTTAGTTGGCCGGTTAAGGATCTCATTCAAAATGGAGAGTATTACTTCCGTGTCAGAGCTATCAACAAGATTGGTGGTGGTGAATACATTGAACTTCGCAACCCTGTAATTGCTGAAGATCAGAAGCGTAAGTAATAACATTCATTGAAAGCATTTGGATGTAACTTTCATTTTGCATAATATTTTAACAACCTTTTGTCGTTCAAATACAGAACGTCCTGACCCACCAGTCGATGTGGAAACACACAACCCAACTTCCGAGAGTGTGACCCTTACTTGGAAGCCTCCCATGTATGATGGTGGAAGCAAAATTATGGGTTACATTCTTGAGAAGATGATAAAAGGGGAAGAGAACTTTCAGAGATGCAATGACTTCCTTGTGCCAGTCATTTTTATGAAATTTTGAATGATTCATCCATTTGAAAGGTAAAAAATAAATAATATCCTGTTCTTGTGTCCTTAGGACGTCCTGGTGTACCTGTAGGACCAATTAAGATTGGGGAGATTTTTGCTGAAAGGATTGGCCTCTCCTGGAATCCACCATTAGATGATGGCGGTTCCAAGGTTACAAACTATGTCATTGAAAAGCGTGAGGAAAACAGAAAAACATGGGTCCATGTTTCTAGTGATCCAAAGGAATGCCAATACACTGTACAAAGGCTAACAGAGGGCCATGAGTATGAGTTCCGTGTTATGGCTCAGAATAAATATGGAGTAGGACCACCTCTGTACAGTGAACCTGAGAAAGCACGTAACCTTTTCAGTAAGTTTCATTCACAGAGAAGCTCTAAATCCAGGGGTTTTCAAACTTTTTGATGCCCATGACCTCTAAACATGATGATGAGGGACCAACTTACTACCATGTGTATATAATTGTATTATATTGCGAGGAAATTTTTTAATAATAACATTATAAAGATAAAGTAAATTATTGGCTTTTATATTGTTATTATACTAAAGATTATCTGGAATATATTTACTATGTATTACGTTGACGGTGTATGTTGTTATCTAGTGATAGTCTACTCATTGTTAAAATAATATGTATAAACCTTTACAAAAAAAACAAACAAACAACAAAAACAGATTTGGCTTTTATGTATTATTGTTAAAAACTAGAATTATGAATAATCTCATGATTTCTGGTTTCTGATTTCCAGTCTTTAGAAAGCAAAATAAAACAATAATAATGTCAAATTGTTAATGTTAATGTGCTAAAATTGTGTTAATTCAAATGGGGGTCTCTGCAAAAAGTAATGTATTGTTGCAATTCAATCTAGTACTTATTTTGCTCCACTCTTCCCCTAACAGCTGTGCCTGGCCAATGTGAGAAGCCAACTGTCACAGATGTTTCACTTGAATCTATGACCGTTAACTGGGATGAACCAGAATATGATGGTGGCTCTCCTGTAACTGGCTACTGGCTAGAGCGTAAGGAAACTACAGGCAAGCGCTGGACAAGAGTGAATCGTGAACCTATCAGAATCAGGACTCTAGGAGTTTTCTGCGTCTAATAAAATTTTGGTCGACCAAGCCTCTTATCGTCGACTATTATGGGGCAGACCTAGTTAGAAATGCATATATTTGTTATTTATTGTGTTTTATATCTATCTATCTATCTATCTATCTATCTATCTAATTAGGTTAAAGACAAGGAAATCAGAGGCACCAAGTTTGTTGTTCCTGGACTTAAAGAGCTTGGACTCTACAGATTTAGAGTGAGAGCTGTAAATTCTGCAGGTGTGGGAGAACCTGGCGAGGTTGCTGAAGTGATTGAAGTCAAGGATAGGACAAGTAAGCATTAATTTTAGATTTCTCTTTTTTTTCTTAACACATTCATTTATTTTACTTTATATTTAATTTGCCATATATTTTAGTTCCCCCTGAGGTAGACCTGGATGCAACTGTCAAGGAAAAGATTGTTGTTCACGCTGGTGGGGTAATCCGCATCCTGGCCTATGTGTCAGGAAAGCCTGCTCCAGAAATTATTTGGAATAGAGACGATGGTGATTTGCCAAAGGAGGCTGCTATTGAGATCACTTCTATAAGTTCAGCTTTGGTTATCAAAAGTTGCAGGAGACAACACCAAGGCATTTATACATTGACTGCCAAAAATGCAGGTGGAGAGAGGAAGAAAGCAGTCATTGTTGAAGTGCT